TGTGTGTGTGTGTGTGTCGGGTGGGCGGCTCAGCAGGTAGGAGTTCTACTGCTCTGCAGAGGGTCTGAGTTCAGCTCCCAGCAGCCGTTTCCTGCAGCTCATCACCAACTCCCACTCCAGCTCCAGGGACCTGCTTCCCTCTTCCCGACTCTGGACAGGTGTACACATGCAAGTCACGTGGGCAGACACTCAGCCACACACGAACATAAGGGGGAAAGGTGGCAGGCCTTTAAGAGATGAGTGAGGGGCAGCGTGGCTCCTCCCTTTGTCCTGCCACGAAGCCCTAAGCTCTGATTTCCTGCTGCCACATGGGCCCAGGCTGGCATCATATCACAGGCTGTAGCTTCTGGTACTGCACTGTTTGGACACTCAGCCACCAAAAACACACACAAAATGAGCTTTTTTAAAAAAAGGTATTTTGTCATAGGAACAGGACGAGTAGCTTAGCTATACTTGTAACAATAATCTTATATTCTCCAAAACAAAAAGTTGAAAAGCCATTTCATTCCCTGTAAAAACGAGCTCATGTTCAGACTCCAGTAGTCTGTGCTCGTGGGTAAATTGCATCATGTCTTTGGGCCTCAGTGTTGTCAGCAGGTGAAAGAGCAACGGCAGCCACCAGTTTCCTGGAGCTCTGAAGGTTTAAACGAGTTCATGTCTAACAGGGCCAGTCAGGGGACCAGCGAGCATCAGGCAGTGCTCACTGAAATCATAGCGCTTGGGAAAGGCAGGAGGATTAAGGGTTCAAGGCCAACCTGGGCTACCTGAGACTGTGCCTCAAAAAAACAGAAACAAAAACAAAAAACAGGGGCTGTGGAAACCGTTTAGTCTGCAAAGCACTTGCCTTGCACGCATGAGGACCCCAAGTTTGACTCCAAGAACCCATATTTATCATCTATCTGTCTGTCATCTGTCTATCATCTGTTTGTCTTCTATCTAGCTATCATCTGTCTGTCATCTGTCTATCATCTGTTTGTCATCTACCTATCATCTGTTTGTCATCTATCTATTTATCATCTGTTTGTCATCTATCATCTATCTATCTATCTATCAATCATCTATCTATCTATCTATCTATCTATCTATCTATCTATCTATCATCTATGTATCATCTATCTATCTATCTATCTATCTATCTATCTATCTATCTATCATCTATGTATCATCTATCTATCTATCTATCATCTATCTATCTATCATCTATCTATCTATCATCTATCTATCTATCTATCATCTATCTATCTATCTATCTATCATCTATCTATCTATCTATCATCTATCTATCTATCAATCATCTATCTATCTATCTATCTATCTATCCATCTATCTATCTATCGTCTATCTATCATCTATCCATCTATCATCTCTCTATGTATCCATGCACAGCCACATATGTACTTGCGTGTCTGTAGTCCCAGTGCAGGGCAGGTCCCTAGGACTCACTGGCCAGCCTGCCTCACCTGCTTGGTGAGTTCCAGCCGGTGAGAGACTGTTTTTAAGAAGGTGGCTGGCTGTCCTCTAGCTTTCCTTTGCATATGCACGCTCACTCTTGGGCATCTGTTCACACACGAACACACAAGTTTAAAAAAGCCACAATCTGCAGTCCAGAAAGAGCTCTCCCCAGATGCCAAGCCAGCTAACACCTTTGTCTCCACACCTGTAAGTTCTCACACTGGATACATCATCCACCTAGAGTCTTTTGCTTACGTTAAACAATATTCGCGCATACATTCACGTCCCCCCAGAATGACCCTGTGATCGGCAGGATGCGCTTACCTAGGTCTGCCGCAAGAGGCGAGCCCCGGGGTGGTAGAGCGGGTAACTTATCAGGTGACGAATTAAGAACATTCCTAGAAGGCAGATGAGACGGGGAGGTGGGGGGTGGTCAGCGCTTGGCCTGGATCAAGCTGACCACAGCTGCTTTGTTAGACCAAGGTGAATAAACGGGTTGAAGGTTCGAATCTACATTCCTGCAAGTTGGAAGCATTTCCTTCCCTTTCTAGATTCTGCACTCCATCCCGTCACCCTAAGGAAAGTCTTTCCTCTACCTCACCAGAGCACAGAAAACCTCCTGTGGTGTGAGACCAGGTGTCTTTCAGTTAGCAAGGCAACCGTGCTCCCTCCTGAGGTGAGGCGCCAGCAGTGTGACCAGCCGCAGTGAATTCACGGCAGGTGTGTCCAGCGGCCTGAGGCAGGCCTGCTCACGCCAGCCCTGCAGTTACAGACCTGCACGCCCCCAGAGGCCCAGGTTGGCCCTGCTGGGAAGCGGTGAAAAATCAGGAGTTGTGGCGTAGTGGGAAGGCTTCGAGTGACTGAAGCAGGTGTTCAAGGGGACGGCGGGCCCTGCCAATCGCCCAGCTTTCCTAACCCCTGCTCTTGTCCCTGACTGAGAGCTTTGCTCTACCCACACTCCCACCTTGATGGGGCTCGTAACAGAGCAACAGGGCCAGCCAGTCACAGACTGTGAGCCAGAAGAAGCCGTTGTCTGTGTAAACTGATCGCCTCCAGCGTTTGTTGCAGTAACGGGAGCTCACAGACAATTCACCACCATGCCCCCAAGTGCCCAGCACAAGGGACAAATGTACCGTGGCCCGCCCTCACAGCGGAGTCCTACGGCAAGCCGAACGGGTACTCCACAGCCACGCTCAATGGATCTCACACAAATGACACTGAGTTGCGGTTCTAGCTCGAGGAGCCTGGCATGTTACCTGTGAGGTCGTGGGGTGGAGCTGACGCCCTGGTAGTGAAAAAAGTTGTGTAAAAGACATGAGATAGCGTGTGCTATTCCAGTCATGGGAAGCACAGAATAACAGAACTTCCGGCTGGTGGGGATCGGGTGCTGTGGCTAAAGGCCTGACGAGACCCACTCTTGAGCCGGGCACCGGTTCCCGGGCCTGCTCAGTTCCTGGGAACACTTTTCTGTAGTACTCTCACACTTCTGTAGGCAGTTGTGACGGCAAGGCCTTGGCCATCTGGCTCGGTGACCCATGACTGACTTACTCGTCAATGACATCAGCTAGGGCAAGGAGAGGTTGCATTTGCTCACCTCTTTGAACCCCAGTAAAATCCGTTTTAGGAGAGCGTAGATTTTCCTGCAGATGGGCAAAGGCTGGCCCTTGAGCAGGTCCTAACAACCACTGTGTTTACGCCTGGGGCTTGGCCCTCTGGATGGCTCTGCTCGGGGTATCGTTCATAGGGGTGCCCGCTTCCGTTTGCCCGAGCCCTGGTCATGCTGTGTCAGTGTGAGTCCTGAGGGGACTGGAGTAGCTTAGTCAGTCCTGGCTCTGGTCACTGTTCCTGGGTGTGGGCGATGCCTTCTGTGTGTGTGTGTGTGTGTGTGTTGACACAGGTGGCTGCTGGGATCTGTCCTCAGCACTACCAGGGAGGCCAGCTGGAGGCGTGTGTCAGGTTTCTGCTAGAGTCCCACCCATGTGATTCTCCCTTGGCAATTTTATCTATTCTTGGCTCTACTGAACTGTAGCTGTGCTGGGCATGGTGGGTACACCTTTGATCCTAGTGTTCAGGAGGCTGAGGCAGGGGGATTGCTGTGAGTTTGGGGCCAGCCCATTCTCCAGCCTGGTCTTCAGAGTGATTCTAAGACAGCCGGGGCTACTCAGAGAAACCCTCAGAAAGAAAGAGAGAGAGAGAGAGAGAGAGAGAGAGAGAGAAAGAAAGAAAAAAGAGAAAGAGAGGGAGAGAGAAAGAAAAAAGAGAGAAAGAGAGAGAAAGCAAGCAAGCAAGAAAGAAACAGAATTGTGTGGATGAGGTAAGCTAAGTCCCCCTCCTGAGTCTTTGCTCCCAAGGGTAGCACTGGGGCCTTGTCAACATAAGCAGCAATAAAAATACTCCCGAACACGTAACAAAAAGCGAAATGTAAAGCCAGTGCTGGGGCTGGAGGAGCCTGGGTCAGTTCCCAGAACCCACATGGTGGCTCACATCTGTCCACGACTCCAGTTCCAGGAGATCTGGATAGGCCTTGGCACGCTCATGGTGCGCAGACATGCATGAAGGCAAACTCATACGTGTGATATAAATCTCTAAAGGGGGAAGCAAATGCTACACTTTTATAGGACTTTTTCAGAGGATCGTATATGTAATCTGCTTAAAGGAGAGAGCTGTGGCTGAGCCTGGAACACAGAGCCAGGGAGCTGGGCTCCGGAGGCGCCTCACCCACGGTCACCCACAGCGCCCCAGACCTCCCTCCTCCCATGGAAGGAGGGTGTTGGCTGGTCCACCTCAGTAGGAAAGGCGGTGCCACAGCCACCCCAGAGCAACGGTGGGAGGGCCTGGTGGGTGAAGGGATGACCACTTACTCGTACATCTTTTCTTCCTCTCTTTCGTTCCGTTCTGAGGGCTTGGCGATTTCCCACTTCTTGCCTAAGGGGGGAAACCGTATTCATTTAAGACACATTAGAGAAAGTTGTGACTTCAGCATTTAGAAGTCCAGGACATTTGGAGGGGAGCTGGAGGGGACAGACGTAGGGACACCTAGAATGCAAGTGACAGAGCCAGCATCTGGCCGAAGCCACAGAGCCCGGGGGGCAGCAGCCGTCAATCATCAATAAACAATTACGTGAAAAGAATTAAAAGGCAGCCATAGGACTGAGGAGCAGTGGTTCAGAACACACTTCTAAAGATTACGTATAACATATATACATACATAAGATATGTAACGCACACACACACACACACTCACACACACACACACACACACAAACACACTCACACACACACACACATACACACACACTCACACACACACACACTCACACACACACTCACACACACACACACACATACACACACACACACACACACACACACACACACACACACGCCAGGTGGTGTTTCGGTACACCGTTAATTCCAGCACTTGGAAGGCAGAGGCCGGAGGAGCTCTGAGTTTGAGGCCAGCCTGGTCCACAGAGCAAGTTCCAGGACAAACCCTGTCTTGAATCCTCCCCCCCCCCCCCAAAAAAAAAAAAAAGGCCTGGAGAGATGGCTCAGAGGTTAAGGGCACTGGCTGCTCTTCCAGAGGTCCTGGGTTCAATTCCCAGCAACCACATGGTGGCTCACAACCACCTGTACTGGAATCTGATGCCCTCTTCTGCCGTGCAGGTGTACATGCAGACAGAGCCCTCATACAAAATAAATAAATACATCAAAAAAAAATTAATTAATTAATTATTTTTAAAAAGTAATGGAGTTCAGAATAAATACTCCTTTTTTATTAAAAATTAATTACTTAAGGGGTAGTGGGGAAAGAGGATGAACCTGGGAACCCTGCGCACCTGAGGGCTGATCCCAGTTCTGCCGCCAGCGCCTGGAGCTCCGGTGCTGAGGCCCTGTCTCTGTGGGAGCCAAATGAAAGAGACTTTGGTTTCAGTGCAGCACTCAGGAGAGCAGATGCCGGGAGAGCAGTATTCTTGGCTCTCAGGAAGCGCACTGTGAACTGCCCAGGGTGCTCCTGGGCACGCGCCTGGCTTGGCCCAGGGTCTTTTAAAGGGCTAGGACCTCAAGGGACCACAGCGCTATCTGGTGTGGGAGGGGAGGGGTGCATGTTCCTGGAGATAAACAGCAAACTGGAAAATCCACTTGTAGATAATCTAAAGTTAGTGTTACTCTCTAAGCAGTCACTTTGTCTGAGGCCAAAAACTTCATCAAGACGAGATAAGAGTAGAAAGCAGGCCTTGGAGAGGGCAGGCAGTCATGGTGGTGAAGCATGCATCATGGGCTGCATGTGTGGGATTATTATTACTGTTATTATCATCATTCTCTCACACATTACACCCCAACTGCAGTTTCCCCTCCCTCCCCTCCCCCAAATCTCTCCCCCAACCTCCCCTCTCCCCCAGGTCCACTCCCCCACCTCTGCCTCCCGTCAGAGAAGAGCAGGCCTCTCAATGACATCAACCAAACATGGCATAACAAGCTACAATAAGACCAGGCACTTATCACCATGTCAGTGGTGGGCAAGGTAGCCCAGTAGGGTGAACAGGGCCCCGCGGGCAGGCAGAAGAGTCAGGATAGCCCTGCTCCCACGGTTAAGATAACACCAAGCCACACAACCCTAACACATATGCAGAGATCCTGGGTCAGACCGTGCCGGCTCCCTGATCCCTCTGAGTCCCCGTGAATCCCAGTCAGCGGATCCTGTGAGCCCTGTTCTAGTGATGTCCCTGACTGCTCTGGTCCTTAGATCCTCCCCCTCCTCTGCAGACTCCCCAAGCTCCACCTAATGTTTGGCTATGGGACTTAGCTGGCAATGGGGGACAGGGAGCCTGAACTGGCCGTCTAGCCAGGCAAGGAGGAGGGAGGGGACACCCACCCAGCCACAAAACCTTTGGCCCACAGTTTGTCCTGGCTGCAGAGGGTCTCCAGCCAGCAACGGCTGCCATCTGCGTTTTCACGCTCCACAGCGGACTTTCTACAGACTCCTGCTCCTTCCCTCTCAAGACCCACAGAAAAGATTGTATCAGCGCCAGGCAGACACAGGGCTCCAGCAACTCTGCTGTTTTACCCAAGTCCCCCAGCAAGGTCTTTGGACTTGATCTCCCTTCACCATGTAAATGAGAAACTGAGCACAGGGACAGAAGTTAGTGGCACAGCTAGGAACCACACCCAAGGTGCCTGTTGCTAAGCTCGTTCCACAGACCCAGGAGAGGCAGAGCCCTGCTGTCCCCACGTCACCTGCCCTTCCCTGGCACCTGGCAGGGTAAGATGGCCATCGTTACCTTGTCTCAGCTGCCACCTGCAGACACAGTACAGGATGAGACCCAGGACCAAGGAGACAATGATGATGGCCACAGCTAAGATGATCCAGAAATTGTCCCTCCACCAACTCATCACTGTGGAAGCCTAGGAAGAACAGAGACGGAGGCACGAGGCATGAGTGCCAGCCCGCAGCGTGGCATCTGCTTAGACACCAGACAGCCACACCTCAGACAGAGCCTGAGCGGACCGCAGGGTATCACTGCTGCCGCTCACTCCAGGAGGATTCAGCTGCACGCCGTGGACCGCCCGGACGCAGCAGAGGGGCGGCGCGCCACCGAAAGCAAGCTGCAGATCTTCATAGCAGAGGCAAGATTCTTCATCACTGTGGAGACAGCTTTGAGCGTTCTGGTTAATGTTGAAGGTGGGGTTAGGAGAAACACCTTGCTAGGTGCTGTGGTTTGAATAGAGCATTCCACTCTGGCGCCGAGGCCTGCTCATCGTGAACAGTATTGCGAAGGGGTGGGATTTTTTTTTTTTAATGAAACATTATTTTACATGCAGGAGTGTTTTGGCTACATGTATGTCTGTGTGCCACATTTGTTCCTGGTGTCCACGGAGCCAGAAGAAAGTGTCAGATCCCCTGGAACTGGAGTTGCAGACAGTTGTGAGCTGCCATGTGGGTGCTGGGAACAGAACCCCGAACCTCTGGAGGAACAGCTGGTGTTTTTTACAGCTCAGCCATTTCCGTGGCAGTCCCCCAGAGCAAATGGTCAGTGCCCACCACAGAGAATGCCCTGAAGTCACCCCCTTCCTCATGCACTGCTGAGAGTTTTTATTATAAAGATTTATTTATGTGTAAGTTTTCTATCTGCATGTACACCTGAACGCCAGAAGAGGGAGTCAGGTCACTATAGATGGCTTTGAGCCACCATGTGGGTGCCAGAAATTGAACCCAGGACCTTTGGAAGAGCAGACAGTGCTCTTAGCCTCTGAGCCGAGTCTCCAGCCTCCAAGAGGTTTTTTTTTTGTTTTTTTTTTTTTTTTTTTTTTTTTTTGTGTGTCTTCTTGAGAGAGGAAGCCTATGAGGATCACAGCCCGTGTCCAGTCTGAGGTCACCTGAGACCAGCAGGCTGGCTCCATGGTTAAGGGGCTTCGGGACAAGAGAGGCGTCCTGGGGAGAGACGTGGAGAATATGGGAGGGGGAATGGGCAGGGCCTGCTTGGTCAGGTGCAGGCCCTGGAAAGGTGCAGACACCGGATCTCTCTCTGGCCAGAGGCTGGGCCAAGTGGTAGGTAAGGTGTAGGTTGCAGGTTGCTGGGAGCCACGTGTGTGTGTGTGTGTGTGTGTGTGTGTGTGTAAGTTCTGACAGTCAGTCACATAGACACATAAAATAAAAGTTTAAAGGGCCGTCTTACAGCTCTGGGGGTCAGAAGCCAGTGTCTCACCCTCTGAGGGCTGCGGGCCTGGGACTTGCCCCTTCTAGACACTCTCTGAGAGAACCCGTTTTCTTATCTCTGGCGTTAGAAGTCACTCGCAGTCCTTGGCTTAAGACCATTTCCCTGTCTTCAAAGCCAGCCTGTTATGTGGCCCTGCTGTCATATCCCCCTCTGATTGTCCCCAAGGTGCACAGGACTCTAAAGAGCACACCAGTTCCGGACAGTTTCCTCATCTCAGTCAGCTGATTGGAAGCCCCGATTTCTGAGCACTATGAACTCTGACATAACCACAGGTTCTGGGGAGTGGGATGCCGCCATTTTGAGGAAGGGAAGGGCTATGACACAGATGACTCCATGCTCGCTCCTCAGTGAGTGGACACTTCAATTAAATAAGGTCCACAAGCCTTCCTGGCTTGTATTTTTCCATCTTTGTGACAGTTCAAGAAGCAGGAGAGGGAAAGCTCGGCGATCACACCTCATTCTGGATCAGTCAGTCACATGGTCTTGTCGCCTTGGTCATGAAGCAGCAGGATCTTGTTGCAAGGCAGCTTGGGACTGGCACACGGATGGAGAAGAAGCCTTCATTATCACAGGGCAGGAAGCAGGAGAGGCTCTCAAGGTGTAGCTCACACTTGGGATAAGGCCTGGACCTCGGAGCAAAGTGGGTCCAAGAAGCAGTTATGGGGGAGAGCAGAAATGTGGGACCAATGCTGGCCTAACCGGCCCAAACCCACAGCCCCTTGTCACCTCTATAAAATATGTGTGAGTTGTTACTTATGTAAAATGTGTGTGTTACGTGTGTGACTTGAGCAAGCCTGTCTTCATGATCAGCTGTGTCATTTGCAGCACCTGGAATGCCATTAGTGCTAGATGGACAGTCTGTTGTTGAGGGACAGCAGGGAGAAGGAGCGACCAGGTTCAGCGCGCAGGTGCTTGAGTCTTTTTCATCCTCTGCTGGTCAGATCGGCAGATACAGACCCTGTGGCCGTGGAGGGTTGACCGCATTTCTGTCTCTCGGAAGAGGAAGCTGAACTCAGGTTAAGAAACGTGCGAGTTGGCACCCTGAGACTCCAGCTCAGACACCAGAGTCCGCCGCTCACTGTGCTACCTTGACAGGAAAGCGGCAAATTCCTTCTCTTCATAACAGAACCGAAAGCAGAACCATTGCTCAAAACTTTCCAATATTCGCAAGACTTCAGTGTCTCACGGTGGCTGGTCGCTCATAGAGGAACCTCACTATGAAAAGACCACACATAGGTAGACAGACGTGGTGGCCTTGGTCCTGGCACTGGGGAGGCAGAGGCAGGTGGAGCTCTGAGTTCAAGCCCAGCCTGTTTTACATATCAAGTTCCAGAGCAGCCAGGACTACACAGTGAGGTCTCAAAAACAAGCAGCAAGGACAACAAAACAGCAACCAAGACTGTGTGTTAGCTTTCCGAGAGTTTAGTTACTCTCCATGTCCCGGCTCGCTTAATCCCCACAATAGCGCCACATGCTGAGTCATCGTTATTAGCCTATTTCACAGGTTAGAAAATGGAGGCCTAGGAGAGCTTAACAAGACTGCAGAGCGAGTAAGTGGAAAAAAAAAAATCAGAAGCCAAACCCAAGTTTGTGTGATCTTAACTTTGGCCTTGACTGTTGCCCACTGAGCCCAGGTCTGGGTCGTGTCCTCAGAGGCCCCTGAGTACAAGGTCTTGTGTGCCTATGCCACTGTCAGCTCCGACTTGTGGGTGCTGTGAGGAGCTGCGTCAGCGTTTTCAGCAGGCCGCCTAGAAGGTTCTCCAGCCCCAGGGAGGAGCCCACATCCCGCTGGTCTGTAGGACTCCTAGCTGGTGCTGCTGAGGGAGCCCTGTCCCCACTCCCTGCAGCAGCCGTCATGGACGACAGGCGCTGCAAAGACCCCTGCGTCCAAACATCTTGCCGCCTTCGCTCTGCCTCCTCTCCATGTAGGATGGCTCGCCTCCACGTGGAGGGAGACACACCAAGTCCAGGACGGGCTGTCTGCCGTCCTCCAAGGACAGTTACAGCTGACATGAGGAGGAGGCACGGACACAGTTCCTCGGGATGAAGTGGACCCGGGAAGCTGCCTGTGTCCTCCTGCATGAGTGGACCTGGGAAGCTGCCCGTGTCCTCCTGCTCTGTGTCCCTCCCTAACGCGTAACCCTCCCTCCTTAGGCGTTCAGAGCCCCCAACCCTCTTCCCTTCCTCCCCAATCATCCAGCCTTCAGGAAGATTCGAAGATTGTAGAGCTGCAGGTCTGCGGAGGCGGGGGAGAGGATGCCCGAAAGGAAAGGAAGAGGAACTTGGGAGGAGGGTTTGCTACAGAAATAAGGAAGGGGAGGGTGCCCGCACAGAAAAGGAAACCCTGAATTTCAAGAAGGGAAGATTGGGGTCGAAGGCCCAGCGCTGTTTGTGTGAGGCCTGTGTAACCCCATTCCTGAAAGAGAAACTCTGTCTTAAGGGTAAATGACCTGGGCATAAACTCCAGTTTCAAAAAGGAGAAAAACCCACAAAAATGTGCTTCGACCACTCACCTCTGGTAATCTTTAACCACACACCCTAACAATGCTAATCATCGAGAATCTGGAGTTTACCCGGGTGTCCTTTACAACAGGATGAGGAAAACAATTATGGTTTGGCCCTCCAGACACCCGATGTTTGCTAACTGTCAGTCAGTCATAGAACCGCCAGGCCTGAAAGTGGCTGTAACCCTAAATAAAAGCCCTGCTTCTCCCTTGACCACTTCGGTCCAGTGTCCAGGCCGCCGGGGCACAGGGATGCTCCACGTGTGTTTGCAGATGAAAGGAAAGAAAAGGTAAGGCAGCCGTTCTCTCCGGCGTGGGCACACATCCCCAGTGGGCAGCGTCCTGGAGGGTAACCACGGCCACGCTCTGGAGCCGTCCTTTGCAGTTACTGACCCTTGCTTCCTGTACAAGCTCAGCTTTCTTCCCTTAGCCCGAGCTGTCAATTCTAAACATAAACTACGTCTAAAATAGAGCATAACTGCCGGGGCTGAGGATGTGGCCGCACGGTAGATTGCCTGCCTCGGACGTGGACGCTCAGAGATGGATTCCCAGCACCCCAAATAAGAAAGGTGACAATCCCTAACAGTCTTTACTTAGACTTGCAGACCCCAGAACATGTGGGCGCCTTGGGTTGCACCGGAATAGGCAACACTTGTTATTTTCCCTTCTCTCCATCAGCCAGCACACAGCGAGTCAACACTGCAAAGTTTAACTTGTGGAAAACAGACACAGCTGCTCAGAGAGTGACGGATGCCAGCCCGAGGAGGTTGTGTTGTTGCCAGAGAAAGATAAGAAAGGAAAAGCACGGAGGACGCCTTCCAGGCACCGCCCCCTGAATGAACCTGACCTCCTTCCCACCCACAGCCCTGTCCTGAGTTTCTGCTTTTGTACAATGAGCAATCACACTTCCATTTTGTTAACAGTATAAACATTTGAATGAGGGACCCAAATTCCTGTCCTGTGTGGTATATTCCCAAGCCACCTGTTTAGGACATATGACTTTAGTTTCCCTCACCCCCCTTCCATCTGCCACCCACCACCGGGACAGGAGGTCGGGGAGCAGAGGCTGCTGGGGAAGGGGTGTCCTAGCTGCCCCTGGATGCTCTGCATCCCGCAAGTTGCCTAAGGCATTTTTAAGGAAGCTCAATGAGCCTGATGCAATCCTGTGTGGTTTTAGGGGGAA